TGTCACCTTGACCTATTCACATTCGAATTGAACCAATTCACTCCTGTTCCTTAGCACGTTTTACCATTTCAACTTTTTACATCTGGCGTATTGTCCTTTGGCTTCTTGGCTATTTACTTTTTTCGGTTATAAGCCGCACGACAGCAACATTGGTTTTGTAGCCGGCGAACCATGAGGAAGTCAGACGCCCGACTCCTGGTTGTGTGACCACGTCCCTGACTCCTCACGTCACGCAGCGCCGTCCAGACGGACGCCCGACTCCTGGTTGTGTGACCACATCCCTGACACCTCACGTCACGCAGCAGGGTACATCTCGTGATGCAGCTCGCAGCGAACAACAACCAAGCTCATTTTGCGATCCTGCCAACTGCCACTAGGAGATCAAACATTTACCCGGCTGGGAGCCCTTTCCAACACTAGTTTTCTCTGGCCGAGAATAGCCGTCACGCTCCACAGCACGCGGCTGCTATTGGAAACTCCTGGTCACAGCTGGGACAGGCACATGCAGGGCCGCGGCCGGCGTCAGATGGCGTCAGCCTATAGGTGGCATCAGGGAACTTCCACAGCCAGTCGCCAACTCGCCACTGAGGCAAGCACACTGCCTTCGCGAAGCTGCGGCGTCCACACCTCCTCGCCGTTTGCATTTGAGAAGCGCAGACGCTGACGCGCGTCAGGTAAATCGACGCTCGGCTCCCACGCCCGACGTTCGACGAGGAACGCGTCACACTTTACACTAGAAATTCCCTCGGCATTAGCAGCGGTTCTATCGCAGCTAAGACCGTTAATAATTTCCACGATTCGGTGCAAATGAATGGAATGTATATAAAATAATGAATTCGATGCACCGAAAACAAGACAGATGCTTGGGTGACAGTTTTTGCGATTTCGCAATGTGAGACATCGAGGAGCCTATTAAAGTCGTGGCCAATACAAACACAGCCTATACCCTAACGTCCTGATGGAAGAGGTAAACGTCAATTTGTCCCGTGTTCTATATTTATCCGCTGCGAAATCTGGCCACCACTGATCAACACCTACTGACCTTTGACCAAGCAGCGGCGGCCGCCTAGCCTGACCTCTCGCCGACCCCCCGTGTCCGGGCCAGCCCAGAACAGCGGCGCACTCACAGCCCTGCGCTTCAGATGCTTACGGGCTCCCTTCAAAGCCATGACACTCCCAGGAACTGACCAGACGTTGCACCTTCATGCCGTTCTGAAAACACAATTACTTTGAAGAGTGCTTATTGGTCTGAACTTTGGAAGAAGTGGCATTAGGCCGAGCGTGCGAGTCTTGCGTAACAACAGACCTTAGGCGCATACTGTGAATTAGGTCTTAGGGTCTCCTCGCCATGCAAGTCGGCCGCACGTTCCAAAGCCTTTCGAACTTGTTTCCAAGTGCCAAATTTATACCTGTAGCAAGTTTTTAATACTTATAACGGAGGTGCTTCAGACTGATAACAGAGACCCCTGCCGACCGTAAGATTTTGTATCTTCATCAAAGGTGGACGTTCGCATGAGTGCCGCCTAATCCAATCTACTTAGTGCCAGAACAAATTTGATTGTTGGGGCGCGATGGCACCGGCCTGTCTAGCCTCGGTGTTGACTGTCGCCGCTCGGTATGAGAGCCTCAGGGCTGGCATCAGCGCGGCGTTCGGGATCCGGGGCTCTCACAGTAGGCCAGCAGGTCAGGTCACACTACACGGCGCTGCAAGCCGGGGCCTAAGCCGAGACAACAGCCGGGCAGACGTGGCTGGCGGCGGCCATGTTGAGCCGCACATGGGGCGCTCCTCTCCAGGGCCTAAGCCGAGACAACAGCCGGGCAGACACGGCTGGCCCCAACCGGCGGCCATGTTGAGCCGCACATGGGGCTCAACATGGCCGCCTCTCCTCTCCGCCCGTGCGGTGTTGTGATAATGATGCTGATAATGATGACGTGGGCGTCCTCCTCCCCCTCCCCTAGGTAATCTGAGGAGACAGGCAATGTCTTGGGGGCGTCTAGTTATTTCATGAACTATTTTGATTTGATTTGGCACACTCAACAAAATCCAGCTAAATCTGCATGTTATCAGAAGCAAGCGGTGCAAGAAACATGCAAATAAAGATGTTTCACAAACGCGCGGATAAAGATTAAAGGTTGCCCTGAAATTTGCAGATACGAAAATCATGTACTCGAGAGCCCGGTTTCTGGCGATCTGAGGATAAAGATTGACAAAGTCTCACGGCGCCGTTTATGCCAAAATGGCTGCCAGTGGTACATAATGTGGCAGATCGTGTCGATTGGGCCCATCGCCAGACGTCGCCTGGAGCGACTTCCGACCGATGGGAGGACGACAGTCATTACCGCACAGGATGCCGCCCCGCGCCGCGCCGGGAATAGCTAATGACATCCTTTTAAGTTCTGTCGCTTCCAGAACGTCAAAATACTAATTAGTGCCACGCTTTCCAGCAGGTTTTGACACAAAAATGTCGACCCTGGTCGTCAGACATCGTAAACACGCACATAACTGGCGCCCGCTGTCGCGCTCACAAATTAAATCCACTGTGTTGTGGTTGTCTTGCATTTCCTTATTCAGTATAATGCCCAAATTCGTGTCGCCTTAGCGCGAATGATTTTAGACCATATCTTCCCAACCTGTCACACTCCATTTTCGTACGACTTCCATACCGCACCGTTCCACGTGGCTAAACCGTTCGCAGCTCCTCTTGTTCGAAAAACGGTTTCCCAGCAGTAAACAGACGGCTCTGAACTCTCACCCCGAATGATATAAGCAAACGATTCGATGTCATCAGCCGCGAACCGATCCTTTCTTTCCTAACGACGACTACAGTAGCCAGGCGGTTTCGTAACTCGCTGAGCGATGACGCCCACCAGATAACCACTATAAGCAACAGCTGTATATCCCCACCAAAAATTTGTCATCGCACTCATCCATCAGGTGTATACTGTTCAACGCCCGCGCACTTCGGCACACAGACGGGCTACTACGGCCGGTAAACGGACTGGACATGTTCAGCGCTGAAGTCACCTAGGTGACCGTCACATCGCCAGGTAAACGGACTGGACAAGTTCAGCGCCGTAGTCACCTAGGTGACCGTCACATCGCCAGGTAAACGGACTGGACATGTTCAGGGCCGTAGTCACCTAGGTGACCGTCACATCGCCAGGTAAACGGACTCGGCATGCTCATCGCTGTAGTCACTTAGGTGACCGTCACATCGCCAGGTAAACGGACTGGACATGTTCAGCGCCGTAATCACCTAGGTGACCGTCACATCGCCAGGTAAACGGACTCGACATGCTCAGGGCCATAGTCACCTAGGTGACCGTCACATCGCCAGGTAAACGGACTGGACATGTTCAGCGCCGCAGTCACCTCGGCGACCGTCGCATCGCCAGGAAATGACCTCCACCAAGCCTCCAATCCATGAGATACGGCGAGCACCTGGCGACTGCTTATAACGTTACCAGACAGAAAAGTCTCCAACAAGGCTCATCTTGTTTGGAAGTTGCGAAAACAACAACCCATGCACCATTCCAAGCACGCAGCAAGGGGTTCGTTGACATGTCACACAACCAAGCACCACCTGGCATACGTAATCACTTGTTATTTGCCAGATCACCGGAGCGGAGCATTATACCTATATGCAGTCACGCAAGATACGGATACGGGATCATGATGAACACTGCAGCGTTCAGCTGCAAAACACCCTTCCACCGAGTGTCCTGCAGTAGAGATTACGCACCACGGACAGTATATATCAAACAATTAGACGATCATACAAAGCACAGTATATACACAAACGGTTGACATCATGCGGATATAATTCAAATGCTAACTAAAAACTATGGAAAGGTTTTTAACATTACCTTTAATGCTTCAGAATGTATCTTATAAAGTAGCTATATAAGTTTACATAGTCATACAACGTAATTCTAACCAATGTTGGCAGGCTTGTAGAGCCTAGCAGTCAATAGTTGCTATCATAGCTATAACACACATACACACACATACAAACGCGCACCATGATCATAAAAAATAATAATGTGACACTGAGTGGGAAATACATTAAACATATGTATATCTCGAATAACTGTCGAATCAGTTCAGTTGTCACTACACTGTTATTCTGCAAAGGCAATAGATCGAGGTTCAGTCAAGTCCAGACCAACTTTGTCGAATATGGAAACACTCACTGAGATTCCAGTCTAGAGACTCTCATTGACGCTTCAGTCTGCAGACACTCACCAATTTCCCTGTCCGAGGGCACTCACCGACGTCCCGGTGTGAGAGTTCTCACCGGTGTCCTGGTCCGAGGGTGTTCACCGACGTCCCGGTCTGAGAGTTCTCACCGGTGTCCTGGTCCGAGGGTGTTCACCGACGTCCCGGTCTGAGAGTTCTCACCGGTGTCCTGGTCCGAGGGTGTTCACCGACGTCCCGGTCTGAGAGTTCTCACCGGTGTCCTGGTCCGAGGGCGCTCACCGATGTCCCGGTCTGAGAGTTCTCACCGGTGTCCTGGTCCGAGGGTGTTAACCGACGTCCCGGTCTGAGAGTTCTCACCGGTGTCCTGGTCCGAGGACGCTCACCAATGTCCCGGTCTGAGAGTTCTCACCGGTGTCCTGGTCCGAGGGCACTCACCAATGTCCCGGTCTGAGAGTTCTCACCGGCGTCCTGGTCCGAGGGTGTTCACCGACGTCCCGGTCTGAGAGTTCTCACCGGTGTCCTGGTCCGAGGGCGCTCACCGATGTCCCAGTCTGAGAGTTCTCACCGGTGTCCTGGTCCGAGGGTGTTAACCGACGTCCCGGTCTGAGAGTTCTCACCGGTGTCCTGGTCCGAGGGCGCTCACCAATGTCCCGGTCTGAGAGTTTTCACCGGTGTCCTGGTCCGAGGGCACTCACCAATGTCCCGGTCTGAGAGTTCTCACCGGTGTCCTGGTCCGAGGGCACTCACCAATGTCCCGGTCTGAGAGTTCTCACCGGTGTCCTGGTCCGAGGGCACTCACCAATGTCCCAGTCGGCGGAGTGCTGCTGGCGCTCCCGGTCGGCCAGCACGTACCACACGCAGGCCAGCCAATGGGCAGCCAGCGAGAACAGCACGAGTAGCAGTGTCAGTATCATGCTGCTGTACTGGGTGTAGCGGTCGATCTTCTGCAGGAGTCGCACCAGCCGTAGCAAGCGCGTCAGCTTCAGCAGGTGGATCGGAGTCTCCTGCGGCCGACCGAAGCACAGGCTCAGAGCCCGGGACAGGTGCGGGGCAGAGGGGCGTGGGGAGGTGCGGGGAGAGGGATGGAGAGGGGAGGGGGAAGGAGAGGGGGGGGGAGACAAAGGCGCATTCTATCTTGTGTTAACTACGCCATCCACAGGAAGATTCCATTAGCGGGCTCAGTCTGCGCCTCATGAATAACTGAGTGACACATTTTCTGGAACTACCTACGCATGCAGCCTGAAGGAGCGTTATATATGCACAGTGCTAGGATGCCCCACGCTATCTTCCTGGTGTGCTCCATAAGCGAATGTGGTAAGTGACAAGTGCAGGATTACAGGAAAGCTTTCTCTAGGCTGCTGCTGGGATGTCTCTCGTTGGCTTCAGTTGAAATAACCGTTTCTATTCTATTTAGCTTCGCAGAAACTCGCACGAAATCGTTCCGAGTGCTTCTCGCGATATGCAAACGTGCAGTGCAACATTCACTCCCGGGTGTGACAAGAGCTGTCGATTACACGCACCCGCGCTATCAAAATCTCAGATGCCAACTGTGACAACGTTTCTGCATCGATGGTAACTAAAGGATCCCTACAGAGCTAGTGGCTGAGACAGCGCGCTTTCCAGCAAGTGAGATCTGGTGCTATTGGCTTTGGAAGAAGCCGGGGCTCTGCTCGTCCGATGGTTCGATCCCAAAGTAAACATCGGAACGAGTGGATGGAATCCCAGTGGGTTATCCCAGTAGCATCCAATACGAGAAGCTTTTGTGCCAGGAGCAGCCTCCAAGCATTTAGAGACAGCGTTCGACTCCTTGGGGAACCATGACACGCTATCAGCGAGCCACTGCCGGTAAGACGTTTTTGATACCTTACGAAAATCTCATGAGAACTGTGCACAGCAAATCTCATGAGAACTGTGCACAGTAAATCTCATGAGAACTGTGCACGGTAAATCGGCGCAACAAACGCCTTTGTAAGAATGAAATTCAAATAATCATTGAACTGAGTCCTCGGAAAGATATTTTACAGACAGATCACATAGTAAACCAAATTATGCACTTATATTCGTTAACGCTATTCAGGTGGTCAGATCCGACAATGCATTTTACCTACAACTATTTTGATGAAATATGCAGCAATATACCACAAGGTGACATTTCAAGTTAACAGTAGTACAAAGTACTGCGCGAGCTGCAAAAATGACAGTTACATATCGAGACGAGAGTAAGGCACATAACTGAATACCGGAGCGCATATAAAGTAACGCTGTTATAATGTGGTGGGCCCTTCGAATGCTATACACGCTACAATACTCAGCGATATGCAAACGAAAATTCTGAAGCTCTTCGCTTTCAGCACTCGGAGCTACGCTGAAAATAGCACTGCATGCAATCGGGACTTCCCTGCCGAACCGTCCGTGCCTAACTGTCAGGGCGTCAGCGCGATTTGAGCACATCTGTCTGCGAACGCTGCAGCTCTGTTCGGCGGCGGGTGGAGTCGGCGGTCAGCAGCGGCGGCTCTGACCCAGGCCGGCTGACTCCCGCTACAGCCGCATGCTTGTTCGAAGCTAGGGCTTCCGTCAACACCGCGCGTCGCACGAGTGCTGTTCCACGGACATCGAGATTACCTGGAGTGATTGACCTGGTGAAGCCAAAGCTTGCTGAAAGGGCTTATTTCCGGGGCTAAGTGAGGAAGATTCATGTCACTTTTGGTGACGCGTGGATTATTTCATAAGCATTGTGTTGTTGCATTTGCATGACACTTACAGAGCGGTTTATATTCGTGAAGACCTTTCCTGAAGCATTGCGTAGCATTGGCTACTTTTGCCAATGACAGCATGACGTAGCGGATGATAGCATAATAGCTAAAATATTTTCAAATTCTGGAGAACACGCGGTGACGCCAACAGCAATACAGAGCACTAGTACAGCCATGTTGGAAGCGTAACTCCCCGCTCGAAAGTCACAAACGCACCTGCAAGCACGGACCTCCTGCTACCAGCACCGCTGATAGTTCGGAATTTGAATTCAAGTGCCTTCTACGTTGTCCGTGCGTGAACTATCTACCCTGATTTGTGAGCGTGGTGAACTGATAGTGTACTGCTGAGTAAAAAAAACTTAATCACGTCGACAGCCATTCTGAAGAAATCTGACCATGACACTAGACTTGACCACTAGTGATAACCCTGCCCGTGGCTGAACCTCGGTCCGTGCATTACTGCACAGCGTGCCATAAATGTTGGAAAACATTGGACGGGAACGCTGCTAACATCAGCGGAAGCAAACAGGCAGCGCAAGCCACATGCGCCACAAATGTCACAAAATAAATCCACAGCCACGGAATGAAAAAAAGGCTCGTATGTTGGAAGATGCTGCGATGAAATACAAGAACGTTACATAAATTAAAAGCCGGAACGGAGGCAACCACAAGTCGCAGCGCATTATTTGCAACTTTAAAACGTTAAGTGACTGATAAAAACTGTTCGATCGATGTTTGATTTCAGCGGCCACGCCAGCTTCAGGGGGGAGGTCACTGAAGGCAGATAGCTGTCAGAAGCACGTGAACGACACACAGACACATGCCAGGCGGGCGAGTCCAGGGCCGAGGTCAGCGTCACCCTATCAGCGGGTCAAAGGTCGTCGAGGAGTGCCCACCGTCACCCTGCTGGCGGGCCAAAGGTAGAAGAGAGTGGCCGCTGAGTGACTGTGGAGCGGCGCCGGTCCGACCTCACCCAGGCCGCCGGAGGCGAGGTGCACGGTCGCACGTCAAAGGTAGAAGAGAGTGGCCGCTGAGTGTCTGTGGAGCGGCGCCGGTCCGACCTCACCCAGGCCGCCGGAGGCGAGGTGCACGGACGCACGTCAAAGGTACAAGAGCGTGGCCGCTGAGTGTCTCTGGAGCGGCGCCGGTCCGACCTCGTCCAGGCCGCCGGAGGCGAGGTGCACGGACGCACGTCAAAGGTAGAAGAGCGTGGCCGCTGAGTGTCTCTGGAGCGGCGCCGGTCCGACCTCGTCCAGGCCGCCGGAGGCGAGGTGCACGGACGCACGTCAAAGGTAGAAGAGCGTGGCCGCTGAGTGTCTCTGGAGCGGCGCCGGTCCGACCTCGTCCAGGCCGCCGGAGGCGAGGTGCACGGACGCGCGTCACACCAGGAGCACACCACACGTGTCTCACTGTAGCAGACGGGTGCCGACTGGCGACAGGCGGGTCCATGCACCAAGACAGTCAAGGACTTCCAGGCGGGCGAGGCAGATGACATTCAGCGTCGAGGAATGGGGTGCGAGCGGGTTATCATACCCGGCGCAAACGTGCCTTTCTTGGTATGCAGATGGAGGTAACTACATCATCATTGGATGTCGATGTCATGCGAGTGGGCACTCATCTAAGCCAAGTGCTGTTTGAAACCAAAATCTGGGCAGAAATACGGCAATGACCAAGTCTCAGCAAGTTATGCAATGAGGCATCATGCCGCAAAAAGAGCATTCCGGAAGATACAAGACGGCCATTTATCACATTTTAGCGCAAAATAAAGGACATGTTTGGAAACATATTCTCTCTTGATGTTTCCGGAACACTTGGAAGATGGTTTCTGTACAATGCCTTTCGAATGTTTAGTTTATGTTAAGCTACCTTTCTCCTTTAACTTGCTCAAGAAAAGTCCTGATATTTGTGTGTGTAAATACTGAAGCCATTGCACCATTTTGCTCTCCCATGGTGCATTATCTAGAGCCCAGGGCCCAGGCTGAAACTAAGCGCGCGTTATGCATGGTTGCGTATGTGAAGGCACAAATGTCTACACTGACCCGCAATGGCGTGTGCCACTTGGCTCATTCGATCTCGAGGTACGCGTCTAAAGAATACCTCTCTCATCGAGGCAGGTCACATATGTCGGAAGCAAAGTTCTCTTGAGGCACAAACTTATTTTGCAACCCATCCTGAAACCGAACTTCTTAAGAGCATCATCACTGTATGTCAATCGATAAATCTAAAAAAGTAGGTATTCTTCACTGCGGCCTGATATTGGCTCATCGGGTGAGGATTTCAAATAGTCACTAAATATCACACTAAACAGGTGACCGTGTTTTGAAGATGGTACTGCATGATCTGGAACATGATTGTGACTTGTCAGATAATTTTCTTTCAAACAATAAATCAAGTTGTACAATTTAGGCCAGTGACAGTGATCTTAGCAAAACCCAAACCCAGCACTAAATGCAAGTCAGTTTCCTGGATGACTAGAGGGAAATGTCACACCGCAGGATCGGGATGTTCAAACGACTGAGTTTCCATATGTCGCCTTCAATTCAAATATTATCCATTGGTACTGCTCAAAGAAATACCACGGGAGCCAAATTTTGGATATTGGAACGTTATTGGGATGATAGCCACCGTGAAGAATGCAAAAGATGCAATTAGACATAATTTTGCGAATATGGCCTTTCTAAAGACCTGAAACGACGCAATTCGGCATACTTTTTTGAACATGACCGTCTGGTATCCTATGTTAGTTGGTTCGAAGTTCACTTGAAATCGGCAGACCATGCATTAAGTACCTCGTCTTTCAAGTTAAGAACCCGTCGGAGCTGAAAAAGAGGAAGATGGTCATGGAAGCAACACGGCCTTGCGTGCCGCATCAGCTGCTCACAAAACTAGGACATTCGCTTTTCGTCCAAAATTGGGCAAGTCAAAGACATCTTGTGCTGCGGAGGCGAAGAAAAAATACCTGACATCCACTTATTGTTCGAATTGCAATTTTTTCCTCCATTTATTGTTAACAAAAACACTGCACCGCGTCGGTCTAAGCATGAGCCATAATGCGATAACGCACCAAAACAGATTCCCCGGAACTGCGGTGCGCATGACTTTCAAATATCCGGATGGTTCTGGCGCTTCCAACTTGATAAAACGAATCCATTTAAAGTAAGGCCTACAGGTGATAGTTGCATGCTTTTTCCTAGGATTGACGCCTTCACTGCGGCAATGTATGCACGCGTGGCTTCGCTAACACTATACACCGCCATCATTTTGGCTGGTGCGAACAAATTAAGCGCACCCCTGTGCGTGATTCACGGAATTTATGTAATCAATATTTTTTATCCTATTGAGACCAGCAAACCAGTCCTATTTTCTACAGGTCATTATTTACCCTACGGATGGTCGCATATGGCCGAAAAAATAGATGAGAGCTTCGGTATTGAACAAAACAAAAGGATAACATTTTATTTATGCTTCTGTTTTGCAGTACCAATAATTTTGATGTGCTCGTGACGATGTACGGCAGGCCCAAACCCCCTGGACACATGATCATACCGGTTGTTGTCAGCTAATAGCAGGTATACCGCGAACGTGGTGAGTAAACTCCGCATTCAACCAAATAGTGAAAGCTTGCACACCCCATCGGATCTACGTCATCCGGTCTTCCACTAGTATTATTTCCGTCGGATCTACGTCATCCGGTCTTCCACTAGTATTACTTCCATCGGATCTACGTCATCCGGTCTTCCACTAGTATTACTTCCATCGGATCTACGTCAGCTGGTCTTCCACTAGTATTACTTCCATTGGATCTACGTCAGCTGGTCTTCCACTAGTATTACTTCCATCGGATCTACGTCAGCCGGTCTTCCACTAGTATTACTTCCATCGGATCTACGTCATCCGGTCTTCCACTAGTATTATTTCCATCGGATCTACGTCAGCTAGTCTTCCACTAGTATCACTTTCATCGGATCTACGTCAGCTGGCCTTCCACTAGTATTATTTCCGTCGGATCTACGTCGGCTGGTCTTCCACTAGTATTATTTCCATCGGATCTACGTCAGCTGGTCTTCCACCAGTCTTATTTCCATCGGATCTACGTCAGCCCGTCTTCCGCCAGTCTCATTCCCATCGGATCTACGTCAGCCGGTCTTCCACCAGTCTTATTTCCATCGGATCTACGTCAGCCGGTCTTCCACCAGTCTTATTTCCATCGGATCTACGTCAGCCGGTCTTCCACCAGTCTTATTTCCTTGCACTATGATATTTCCATCCCGTTAAGGTTAACAGGACCCCTGGGCGTTCCCAACGCTGCGCACAGGACATGTGCAGGCGAAACAGGGCAAACCAATCAGCCCAGTGCCAGGCGTTTTCCCTGACCAATTCCCATGTGAAAAGCTGAAAACGTTTCAGGAGTGTTCCATACATTTTGCAGGAATGCTAACAATTTCAACTAGCTCTAAGCGCCACGTCAAGATGCAGATTTTGGTCAGTCATCTGCAGATTTTGCCGCTTCAGAAACTCAAGAGGTTTTGGCGGCAAGAAAGGATAGTCTGATAGTTATCGAAACATGACGACTTAAGTACTTATGTGCATGAGCAGTGATACTTATGCATGCTTTACAAAATAGGAATGCTTGTTTTTCCATTTCAACTTCAAAAAAGAAATGTTTGTCATCATACGCAGTACCCAGTATTACCTCAACTTAAAACTTGTCCGACAAAACTTGTGCCATTTTTCGACTTCATGTGGCGTCCAATATTGTATGCTAGCTGACAACGCTTCCGTCATTGTCAAGATACGACACACACGGGAGTCCACCACAACAAGCTACGAAGCTGGATAGCGCGTGCATCTGGTCTGCATAGTCTGTCCGAGACGTGGGCCGCCGCAGCATGCGGCCTCAGCGGTACGTTACCATCGAGGTTCCAACACCGGATATCGCGAACCCCAATGTTCATGTTCGAAAACAGCGCTCTGCTACGTGTCTGCTGCGAACGATTGATGATGCTCCCCAAAGGGCCCTCGCGCTCCTTCACTCTCGCCGGCGTCCGCTGCCGACGCGGCACCGGGCGTCACGAGCGGTGGCGGCCGTGATCTCGTCACCGGGCAGCTGGCCAGCGGCTCACCGAGCTGTAGACGTCCGCCGCGAACAGCAGGTCGAACGGCAGCGCCGCCAGCAGATCCACGATGAACCAGCCCTTTAGGTAGTTGGTGGCGATGTAGCGCGGGTTGGAGACCACCTCACCTTTCTTGTTCACGTACGTTGTGCGGAAGTTGAGGACGATGTCTGGAACAGAGCCAGGCACGGCTTGGGCAGTGCCTTCATCTAGCACTGAGGCTAGCATCATCTAACCCGGGCGCATGCCAGGGTCGCAGAACATGACGAAGCACACATAGTCCGGAATGTCAGCTGTAGATCGAAGGCGACACAGCGTGACAGTATGACCCTTGGGCTTCAGACGGCTGGCAATGCAGCGGCAGCCGAGCAGCAGAACCAGTGTATTGCAATTCACGACTTTGGTGGAACATAGCACATTTTCCTGTTTATCAACCCTGAATTCGTTCGTTCATACCTAGATCAAATTTTCCAACCATGTTGTTATTTTTCGGTGCTTTTGAGAGGACAATTTACTGCCCAGATCGCCTTTTGCTGGGACAGTTTTGACACCCTAAGCTGGCCGGTCGGCCGGGCCCACACACTGTGGCAGCTCGTACCCGGTGCACCAGAGCTCCAAGGGCTCCGGACGGGAACCTCGGCACTGCTGCCTTCGGCAGGCCGCAGGGAGTACCCGCTCCTGGAGAGCGCCACCGCTGCCTCCTGGCGCACGCCCCTAGGGCACGGCACCGCTGCCTCCTGGCGCCCCGCCCCTAAGGGACGCTACAGCTGCCTCCTGGCGCCCGCCCCTAAGGGACGCTACAGCTGCCTCCTGGCGCCCCGCCCCTAAGGAACGGCACCGCTGCCTCCTGGCGCCCCGCTCCTGAGGGACGCTACAGCTGCCTCCTGGCGCCCCGCTCCTCAGGGACGCCACCGCTGCCTCCTGGCGCCCGCTTCTGAGGGACGCTACAGCTGCCTCCTGGCGCCCCCGCCCCTAAGGGACGGCACCGCTGCCTCCTGGCGCCCCGCTCCTGAGGGACGCTACAGCTGCCTCCTGGCGCCCGCTTCTCAGGGACGCCACCGCTGCCTCCTGGCGCCCGCCCCTGAGGGACGCTACAGCTGCCTCCTAGCGCCCGCTCCTCAGGGACGCCATCGCTGCTTCCTGGCGCCCGCCCCTAAGGGACGCCACCGCTGCCTCCTGACGCCAGCCCCTGAGGGACGCCACCGCTGCCTCCTGGTGCCCGCTCCCCAGGGGTGCCACCGCTGCCTCCTGACGCCCGCTCCTGAGGGGCGCCACCGCTGCCTCCCGGCGCCCGCCGCTGAGGGACGCCACGGCTGCCTCCTGACGCGTCACCGCGCACGAGGGGTGGCCATGCTCATACCGCACTCAGAATGCGGCGCGGCGCTGCTCCGTACAGAGCGCTAATGGGGATGACATGTAGCCCCGCTGGTGACCCGGCCGGTACCCCAGGGTGCCGCACCTGCACCTGACCGGTGGTCTCACTTCTCCCGTATCACACACTAATGTGGTGAGCTCGCTCGGGCCGGAAGCCAGCTCTGCCTACGAGCACGCGTATGGGCCCGTATGGGCCGCGTATGGTACATGGGCGCCCAGCACTGCTCACACGAGTCACCAGTAACAGAGCTCCAAGGCACCGCTCGGAAGTGAATAACGGTGTTTTATAACACTGGTCAAGTTCAAAACGGCTAAATTGTCCCTCGCGACCAGATGGGCTGATGAGAGCTACATGTGCTTTGCTAGTATCTGTAAGCACGATATTATTATTCCTGCTCCAGCTAGCAACCAAGACAATCAACCACCTGACTTACTCCACAGATGTGGTCAATTTACGCCCACAAACGGACACCTTCTATGACAAATACAATCAGGTGTTGTCTCTCTGTCACTGACGCTATAACCGGCTGATGAAGTGTCTGCAGTAGGAGTTCGCTGTGGACGAGCTGGCGGCGCTGCTGGATTAGGGAAAGTTGGCCACAGAATGTCAGAGAGCGACTGGAAACATGGGAGGCTGCGGCCGCGCCACAGTGCGGTGCCTGATTGTTGTCATCATCTTATATTGCACTCGTGACATGTAATATCGGGTGGAATCGAATCGAGTGGAGTCGAGCCACCAAGGTTTGAAGAAGATATCTTCAAATTCCCTCAATGACACGCCGGCGTTGCATGCAGCTTGAGGAAAGCAATCATGACGCACAGTAGGCCACTGTTGCCTTATCACATACACATTGAAGACAAAAGTGTACCTCCGAGAAAGAAGGGCAATGACAGGTGTTTTGACGAAGGATTACGGCGCAAAACTTTTCTTAAACTTTTAACAAGGTTTCAGCGTTGTTTTCTAGCCACCAACCCTTAATTTGTTTTTTGGCTAGAAATATTCTGCAGGGGTTTACATGATTTTTGTAAGGAAGTAAAGTTGGATAAATTGTAATTGGCTGGCATAAGTTAAAAATTGTTAATGTATTTGAAAAGCAAGTTGTTAGAAACAGCGCAAGCAAATGCCGCGCTGCAGCGGCATCTGCTGAGTGACTCGCCTTGTTCTTGATAAAACTTTCACGAATCATTCTAGTTATTTGACCCTTTGTACTGTTTAAGCCTCAGCAAATTCTGGCTGAGCAAAAATCAGTGAAAAATTCCAACCTAGCGACCATCTCATCATGACTACGCTCTTCCAGTTGCCGCTCCAGTATGAAACCAGTACTGAATTCTCACTGAAATTTGATTGATGAAGTTAGGTATATTTATAGGCATATCTAAACTCAGTCGCTCACAGGCCCAAGAGTTGATGTACCGTCACGCACTTCAGATCAGCTCACTCTAGTGAGACTTGGCAAGAAGAAACCAGTGTTCAGCTTAAAGAGTTGGGTGGTCTGGATCGCTTGGGAGCTTTGATTATAGTTGTCCCAATTTTCGACTTTTGTTACCGGTCGATTGGCAAACAAAGTTTCTTTTTATCACCAGTTCCACCCGGTAATTCAGAACGCATCCTTTCGCCGCTTCCACCGCACGGCCGTCTTCTGTCTCGGCAGGTCCCCTCATCGCTCCACGTCCCTCCCACCTCGTTATTCAGAGCGGCCGTCGAGGGACACGGTGTGTCCAGGGTCCCCGCCGCCCGCAGCGGCAACGGATCGCCTGGAGACCGTTCTCATCGCGGCGCCAGGCCGTTGTCGGGCGGCGCTGCGCCACGCCCAAAGCCGTGTGTGATTACGCGAGGTGTCGGCAGCCTTCACGGCCCAGCCCGTCGTCTATCGATCAGACCGCGCGGGTCGGGCGCGCCGCACCGGCTGCGAAAACGGCCAGAACGGCACTCTGAAAAACGCCGCCAGCCGGCGTTCAGCTGCGGCGGGAGAAACGTGACACCGGCGCCGGGCCCGAGGAGTCCCACCGGTGATTGGGGCTCCACGAGCCGCAGCTAGCGTTGCCGGCCCACAGACGAACGCCAAACGCTTGCACCGGTGATTGGACGGCCGCCGACAGGGACTCGCATCCGAGAGTGGGGCTCCACTGGCGAAAACAAAGAATTCCGCTCACTAAAAAAAAGGGACTCCATTTACCGCCGCAAGACTTGAGCTTGATTCCGCTGCAGCAGAATGTATTCGTCTTGGGCTCGCAACACATGAGGTTTATTCCGACTCTGTTCTAATCAGCATTGCACGTTGAGCCGACTCAACCTCACACTAAACGCACGATCACGTTTTGTTTTGTTCTGATTCCGTTTCCGTACGGAGCACAACTATGAATGGGTGTCTTATTCTCTCTCCAGTTCATGTCTCTCCCTCTCTCGCTATATTTTTTCTATCCCCTCTCACATCTCTCAACATTCTTGTTTCTCCTCTTCTCTCTCGCCTCTCTCTATCCTTCTATATCTATCGCCTTCTCCTCCTCGTCTCTCTCTTTCTCTCTCTCTCTCCTCCTCCTATCTCCCTCCTCCTCCTCCTCTATCTTTCTGCCCTTTGAAGAAACGATTCGTTTGATCCTAATGCGAGACTGCACACAGGTGCAAAAATTGCAGTGCTTTGGGAAAAAACGTCGCATTCGCCACACAGCACTCGCCCAGACAACGTTTCGCACAAAGGTGGAGGCGTTCCCTGGCTTTCCGACCGGCTGTGCCCCCTAACCCGAAAGGCTTGACCATACGTAGTACACCAGCCACGCCAGCGAAGAGGCACCCGCCACAAGTCTGACCTGCGGCTACCGCGAGTCTGACACGTAAGGTGTGTATTTTGGCACCGGTGATCGTGTCCTCACGTCGAAGGTGATCCCAGGGTGATCCCATGCGGCGTCCGATCGGTAGCCAAGCGTTGTGAACTCTTGATGCATAGCGAGCAGTATGCTAACCACACGCATGCATGCATTCGTATGTCACGACGACAGGGAACACTAGACTGCATCGCACAGCTGCGGCAGCAATTAGAACCTGGGCGACCTCGGCTGCCGAGGACGGCGCTGACGAAGTTATTCCGATAGCAGTCTAGCACAGAGCTCAGCAGCTGGCGAAGGACTGTGATACACTATGGCTAAAGGTATAGGACCACTGCAGATCCAGGCGGAGTGAGGCATCCATGCTGTTTCTGAGCCGGCGGTTTGATCCACAAATCTCAGACCTCTGCAAACGCGAAGGCCTCAGCAATGTCCCAAAAAAACAAATGCCGGGAACTTGAAGAACGTTCAAGTTGGATAGCAGATCCGAAACTGTTAGACATCGGTGGAGCAGGTTTTCTCGGAAGCCGACGGCTGCCGACTACAGAGTCTGTCTGCAGCACAACGCACGATAAGTGTGCAAGTTGCACACCCCTGTCAATGGTGATGGCCGCTGCCCACGCGGACCACACCCACACACCCCAGTACCGTGCCGTTTGGTTGTACATAGCTCCCGCCGCTGCGATGTTACACCGCGGCGCCTATCTCGGACACCGGCAGCAGGCACGTGATGCTCACTGGCCACCAACGTCGAAGAAAGGCTCCCCTGCCCGGTGCACCTCGTGCCCATGCCGCGCTGTTCATAATGTCCTGCCGCCGCGCTCGGATATCTAGCCATGCGATATTCAAACTGATGTAACAAGACTGCATCTCATGCCGGACTGGCAACTGGCCCCAACAGACGATATTTAGCACCATTGTTGGCGGACCAATAATGGCTGAACGCGGGCATAGTAAACAGAGGTCAGAGGTCCCTCCCCTTTCCCATTATCTACAGACATCGATGCCACTGATAGTAAACGTGTTTCTGCCGCAGTTTTTTCCAAATGTATTTTCTTTATTTCTATCACCAATGATCAAGCTATCAGGAGTGACCCACCCGCAGCCCAGCCATAACATAGTCTTACATCACCGCATCAAAAGAAAATGAGTACGTCACGGTGCTCCGAACAAAGAAAAAGTGAAATAAATCAAAATGCAAGCAAATGAAGCGGGTCTTTTTGCATGTTACATTAAACAGCAGCCATCAGAAGTTTTTTTACTTCCTGCTTTTGACTTCAAAGTGTTTTCTTCCCTCCCTCTAAAGTAGAACGTAGACGTAGCTAAATATGTCATTTACCTCACCACAAACCTGCATTTAGCACCACGTATGTGCAGTTTGGGTCAAGCGCTAGCTTTCTCACTCTCCGTTTCCCTATCGACGCACCGCAGTGAGCCGATGAGATGTGTGAGGCGCGTCTGTTGGTGTTGGTGCAAGTGCCAAAACACTCACCAATGAGGAACAGCGCTTCCACCACGACATCGCTGACCACCGACGGCCTGTCACGATCCATGACGAAGCTGGCGTTGTACGGCACAACCACGGCCACGTAGAACGTGGCGACGAGGATCAGCCAGTCCCAGCAGGACTTAAAAATTCCTGCAAGAGCGGCAGTCTGTCAGAAATTCAGAAATGACGGCAGATATCATAGGAGAAGCTGGGGGAGAACCAGAGCACTTCCACGAAGTTAAAGCCAGAGGACCAAAACGGCAAACAAGCCCGTGCCATGGTAATATCCACAGGGCATTTCCTCCATACGTCGGAAAGGAGTGCAAGAAGACTACATGGAAGCTATGAACACCGAGGTTTCCCAATTTGGACAGAGGTTAGGTGGTTGTTAGTTAGGTGTGGTTTGGTAGTGGAAGTTAGGTTAGGGTGCAGGGCGCGATTAGCAGGGCCAGCAAAGCGACGATCATTTTTTCAAGTAGAAAACCGACCTCAGCCCGTGCGCTCGCAACCACGTTTCAAAAATGTCGGGAAACTTGACCCTTGGCGAAAATCTTAACGAATGCCTTGGCGCACAATTCGCAACAGTTTTTAAGAGCGGCGGCATCAAATGTTGCAAGAATGACTTCAATATACGGACCAAACAAAGATAATACTTTTCAGCATGCTGATCCCCATCGTTCATTCAATTCACCATGTCTCCTAAAGCGGGCAAATATCTGCATATCCTAAGATTAAATCCTAGTTTGTTCTGCCAAGCCACGTCGCGTAACGCCCAGGCTTGTTCCGCGGCCAAATCACGGCAGGTGCATTCGGCTCTCTCGAATGACCAAAGTCTTCCTGGCCCAGTCCCTGGCATATCTTGTACGGATTTCCCAAACAGTGTTATAGTGCTCGCGGGGACAATGTTAGTACCGGGTGAAGTCGGGCACAGCCGCTCGCCATTGTCCGCTCTTGTCATACCAACATGATGTCTGTCGCACTCCTTGCCGTGCTGTTGTGAAGCTGAATTGACTCAGACTTGTACAGATACTTCATGTAGTCAAGCCGCAGTACAGCTGATAAATTTGTGGTAAGTGTGAATTTCGGGTTGATGTCTTCAGACAATACAGCAAATAAATACGAATTTGGCCCCACCAGAGAACGACCAGCCCGTTTCACAAGTTTTGCTGCATCTCATGCGTTTACTCACAGTCTCAAATGGGCTGGATTTCAGGCATCACCCGTCGTCAATTAAAAACCATTGGTTTAAAGCTTCAGTCAGTATATTAAGAGGCTTAAAAAATGAGAATCTTATCAGCCTCGGTTACGGCAGCGGAGCAGAAGTTGACGGAACCACTTACCGCAAGTTGCCTGAAGCACTCACCATAATGAGAGAGGACGAACTTCGATCGTTTGGCTGACACAGTTTTGTACTCGGGCAAGGGTGCTGTAGACCCCGGCTGCAGCAGTGACTGTAACAACGACCGCAAGTTTTGTACTCGGGCAAGGGTGCTGTAGACCCCGGCTGCAGCAGTGACTTTAACATCGAACGCAAGTTTTGTGCTCGGGCAAGGGTGCTGTAGACCCCAGCTGCAGCAGTGACTGTAACATCGACCGCAAGTTTTGTAATCGGGCAGGGGTGCTGTGGATCCTGGCTGCAGCAGTGACTGTAACATCGACCGCAAGCTTTGTACTCGGGCAAGGGCGCTGTAGACCCCAGCTGCAGCAGTGATTGTAACATCGACCGCAAGCTTTGTACTCGGGCAAGGGCGCTGTAGACCCCAGCTGCAGCAGTGACTGTAACATCGACCGCAAGTTTTGTACCCGGGCAAGGGTGCTGTAGACACCGGCTGCAGCAGTGACTGCAACATCGACCGCAAGTTTTGTACTCGGGCAGGGGTGCTGTAGACACCGGCTGCAGCAGTGACTGTAACATCGACCGCAAGTTTTGTACTCGGGCAAGGGTGCTGTAGACACCGGCTGCAACAGGGACTGTAACATCGACCGCAAGTTTTGTACTCGGGCAAGGGTGCTGTAGACCCCAGCTGCAGCAGTGACTGTAACATCGACCGCAAGTTTTGTACTCGGGCAGGGGTGCTGTAGACACCGGCTGCAGCAGTGACCGTAACATCGACTGCAAGTTTTGTACTCGGGCAAGGGTGCTGTAGACACCGGCTGCAACAGGGACTGTAACATCGACCGCAAGTTTTGTACTCGGGCAAGGGTGCTGTAGACCCCAGCTGCAGCAGTGACTGTAACATCGACCGCAAGCTTTGTACTCGAGCACGGGCGCTATAGACCCCAACTGCAGCAGTGACTGTAACATCGACCGCAAGTTTTGTACTCGGGCAAGAGTGCTGTAAACACCGGCTGCAGCAGTGACTGTAACATCGACCGCAAGTTTTGTACTCGGGCAAGGGTGCTGTAAACACCGGCTGCAGCAGTGACTGTAACATCGACCGCAAGTTTTGTACTCGGGCAAGGGTGCTGTAGACCCCGGCCGCAGCAGTGACTATAACATCGACCGCAAGTTTTGTACTCGGGCGAGGGTGCTGTAAACACCGGCTGCAGCAGTGACTGTAACATCGACCGCAAGTTTTGTACTCGGGCAAGGGTGCTGTAGACCCCGGCCGCAGCAGTGACTGTAACATCGACCGCAGCGGCTCGCGTGACCACTTCATCCCCACAGACACCAACTCACGTGACCACATCATCCCCACAGACACCAACTCGCGTGACCACATCATCCCCACAGACACCAACTCGCGTGACCACATCATCCCCACAGACACCAACTCGCGTGACCACATCATCCCCACAGACACCAACTCGCGTGACCACATCATCCCCACAGACACCAACTCGCGTGACCACATCATCCCCACAGACACCAACTCGCGTGACCACATCATCCCCACAGACACCAACTCGCGTGACCACATCATCCCCACAGACACCAACTCACGTGACCACATCATCCCCACAGACACCAACTCGCGTGACCACATCATCCCCACAGACACCAACTCGCGTGACCACATCATCCCCACAGACACCAACTCGCGTGACCACATCATCCCCACAGACACCAACTCGCGTGACCACATCATCCCCACAGACACCAACTCGCGTGACCACATCATCCCCACAGACACCAACTCGCGTGACCACATCATCCCCACAGACACCAACTCGCGTGACCACATCATCCCCACAGACACCAACTCGCGTGACCACATCATCCCCACAGACACCAACTCACGTGACCACATCATCCCCACAGACACCAACTCGCGTGACCGCATCATCCCCACAGACACCAACTCGCGTGACCACATCATCCCCACAGACACCAACTCGCGTGACCACATCATCCCCACAGACACCAACTCGCGTGACCACATCATCCTCACAGACACCAACTGGTCCAAATGAGCAGACCCTGAAACTTCAACTTTCGGCGACTCCCATGGCCCGACCCACAATCATCACCACCCGCGAGTGCTGCCACTGAACTGAACTACCCCCAGGCGGCCGACGTAGCGTGCGGCGGTCTTACGTTATTGAGCTTGATCTTGGACTTCCTCTCCTGCGTGTAGTGTCCGGACAGCTGGTAGAGCACGGCGCGGGACCGACGCCGCTGGTAGTTGATCGGCGGAGCCTCCACGTCCAGCTCGTTACCGTTCGGATCTGAGAGGTCGAACCGTACTCAGGGCGGACCCGGATCACGCGCTGCCCCCCCCCCCCCCCCCCCAATCGTCCTCGGGACAAGAGCAGATCAAGCCGCTGCTCAAGGGACCGTGCTTCGTTTTCTAACTGCACGGGACTGGAGGAAAAATGACAGCGAAAGGCAAAGGTGGTAACGTAACAACAGATATCAACTGCAGGCAGAATGTGAGAAGTTTTATTTTGTTGTTGAAGTTGCGTTAATATTCCCGCATATGCCTGAAAATGGAAAAGGTATGCGGTTTGTTTTTGCCACGATTCATATTTACATATGACAACGCACAATCAGTAAATGTGCCAACAACGCGCAGACACTCATTGATCGTGGCCAACAGCATTGATCTCCGTTGAGGCGATGATTGGCCTTAGGGCCGCTCCCCGAGGCGTGTCCACGGGAGGGACTGGAGCCCTCAGCCGCGCTATGATCAAGAAAATTATGGGATTCGCGAGATCGCGCCTCGTTCCATGCCATAACTAAAAATCATTCAAGTAAATGACCTCGAACCATTTTACGTTGGACGTTCTCTGTTCTTTAAAACCAGAAGATAATTAGTCAGTACATCCAGGAGCAGACCAATTCGAGCAGGTTGACACACGTCGCCGTGTCTGTCGGAAGGCGCAGTGCGTGGCGCACCCTTCTCCCCTTCCAAGTTACCCGTGAAGCACTGTGCCTCGTCAAAGTTTCGCTGACGCACCGTACCCGCGCCCGAGTTACCCGTAACGCGCCGTGCTCCCGTCGGAGTTACCCGTGACGTACCGTGCTACCGTCGGAGTTACCCGTGACGTGCCGTGCTCCCGTCGGAGTTACCCGTGACGTACCGTGCTCCCGTCGGAGTTACCCGTGACGAACCGTGCTACCGTCGGAGTTACCCGTGACGCACCGTACCCGCGCCCGAGTTACCCGTGACGCACCGTACCCGCGCCCGAGTTACCCGTTACGCGCCGTGCTCCCGTCGGAGTTACCCGTGACGCACCGTACCCGCGCCCGAGTTACCCGTTACGCGCCGTGCTCCCGTCGGAGTTACCCGTGACGTACCGTGCTCCCGTCGGAGTTACCCGTGACGTACCGTGCTACCGTCGGAGTTACCCGTGACATACCGTGCTCCCGTCGGAGTTACCCGTGACGTACCGTGCTCCCGTCGGAGTTACCCGTGACGTACCGTGCTCCCGTCGGAGTTACCCGTGACGTACCGTGCTCTCGTCGGAGTTGCCCGTGACGCACCGTACCCGCGCCCGAGTTACCCGTTTCGCGCCGTGCTCCCGTCGGAGTTACCCGTGACGCACCGTACCCGCGTCCGAGTTACCCGTTACGCGCCGTGCTCCCGTCGGAGTTACCCGTGACGTACCGTGCTCTCCGTCGCCGCACAACCGCTCCTCCTCGGGTTCCTCATACGGCAAGGAGGACATCTGCGCCACCTTGGTCGGCGTGATGTCCTTGTGCGACGCCAGGAAGAGCACCACCTCCCGCTTCTCGTTCTTGATCGGCACGATGTCCAGCAGGCACCAGAAGGGCGAGCCTAAAACACCGCGTCGCGGTGGGTGCAGGCGTACATCAGCGAACACAGGGCCGCCATGTGAGTGGGCCGGCCATTTTGCTTTCTTATCTACGGAATCGTCCATGAATTGGTGACCAGAAGTGCCTCCCCTGTCTAGAAGCGGCAAAGGAACTTGACACGGTCATTAGGAAGCCAAAAAGGGCCGCGTCGCTCCCTACTGAGAAGTGAGAAAATGAACAACATAAATAGCATGCACGTTCAGCGTGCCAGCCATATATTACGGCACTTTTCAGGTAAGTCGGTTTATTATTATAATTACAAATAATGCATTAAATTCTGAACAAAAAATCCAAGCAATAAGTGCCAAGCACGATGACTACACCAACGCCCATCTACATTAACGCCCAGGTTCGACTAAAAAAACTATAGCTATGCTCTTGCAGCCGACGTAAGATAACATTGTACCGGTCACAACGGTACTTCCTGATCAATTGCGTTAGAACTCTCCCGCCTGAACAGATTTGATTCAAAGCACCATACCCAGTCACCAGCGGCCACTGGCGCCCGCCTGGCAGACTTACCGTTTTTCCTGTAGAACATGACCTCGAGCTTCAGCTCAGTCTTGCTCTCGAGCGACAGCTCGATCTGCTGGCGGTGTTCCTCGGCCGTGTCCGGGCCGTACAGGAAGCGACACGCACACCCCTTCTGCATGATCTGGGCGCGAGCGTGCCCCGTCAGCTCGCAGAAGCCGTCCGAACAGTACACGATCGGGAACGTCGACGACACCTTGGCATTGCCCAGCACGAAGTTGCTGTCTGCAACGATAGAGCGTGTGGCTAGCTGCAGCGTTCTTTGGGAAGGAGTGTTCGCCACACAGTGAGGAGGGAGGGAGGTGCGGTTCAAGGCAAGGGACGGGGCGGTGCCGAGGCCTTCATAGCCGCAGACAGCTGAGCTAGCCGCTGTTGTATTATTTGGGGTCGCTGAGGCTAAGTATCTTCACTTCGTCACATGACTGGTACCATAAAAAGATCAACAAATTACTATCAGACGACATCCTTTTGTGCTGATTCGTCTGTTTGTATTTCCAGCAGTCTAGATTTGTTGTTGTATTCTTCCATTTTTAGACGGGACAATATCTGGTCGGTTGCCATTGGTTCTACGGAACTAAATTGGTAGCTCTCCTGCTCTCCTGGCATTCAGCGCCCCCGAACTCTCATGGCGCCAAACATCCGATGTACATAATGGCACGGGGACGATATCATCACCCAATGATACGAGCCAGTGTTCATCGTCTATGGTTGCCACTCGGTAGTCTCTCTCCATCACGAGCTTTTGTTGCCGTGCTACGAACCCTCTTCTCGCAGTTTTTACCGGGCGGGGGCTATTTATCAGGAGTTTCATCCCGATTACGAGAGACCGTCAATTTTCCCAAGTTCCCGCACAGTAAAGCAGCAGTATATATACATATATATATATATATATATATATATATATATATATATGTATATATATATATATACACACCTTTCTCTCTCTCTCTCTCTCTCTCTCTCTCTCTCTCTCTCTCCTCTCTCTCATCTCCCTCTCTCTCCCTCTCTCTCTCTCTCTCTCTCTCTCTCTCTCTCTCTCTCTCTCTCTCTCTCTCTCTCTCTCTCTCTCTCCCTCTCTCTCTCTCTCTGTATTACAGACGTGGGGTCCATCATTAAACCAAATAGGACTGAAGCAGCACTGGTTTGCCATCACCTCAGCTCGCCGTTCGCATATGAGGCTGTCAGAGTCCAGTGGTTTCGTGAACTCGCCAACCCATTGTGCAGCTCCATAACTGGCTTGGGTATGTTTAGCCTGTTCAGGTAAGAGGTCGTAAAGAACAAAAAGTGTACGTGCTCTCGGAACTCGTCGTTTTGCATTCGCCTGTAAATTAGCGACTGAAACCGTTTTATGAAACTGTGACGCACGTTATGTCAAAGAAAACCACCATGCCGATCCTACTTTAAATTCTTTCACATTCACCAAGCAAATATATCCGCGGGCAGTGAATGCACACAGCCAAGATCACATCCTGCTCAGGACAGCACACCCCCGGAGGCGCCGCCGGCTGGGGTGGGACGCGCGGCCGGACGCCGCTGAGACGCCGCCGCGGGCGACGGCCGTCGCCCGCGGCTGTTTTCGCCGCCAACGTGCTGTTATCGTCGACAGTCGGCCGTCACGGCGCCGGACCTATCAATGACCACGCGCCGAATTCATCCCGTGGACGATTACGAGCCGGTTTCGTCGCTGTCGCTGATCACGCGCCAGTTTTTTTCGCGACATGCACTGCCCTGTTGAACCTAAAGTGATGGCCATAAAGCAGAGCCCAGCCGGCAGGCGTAAACATGGGTCACCGTAGAGAACGGTAGGACAGTGATCCTACCGAGAACGGTAGGACGGAGGCCCTACCGAGAACGGTAGGACGGCCGACGAACGCTGCAGTGCTGGTGGCATTCCTGCCCTGGCTGCTATTCGAGGCCGGCGCCATAGTGCACCTGACAGGACTTCGCCTCGGCGGTCGTCGGAGCCAGTCCGGCGCCGGAGAGTCAGCCGATCCGCACCAGCAATGGCGGCACGGCCGACGGAGCGGCCGCGGGGCTCCATTTGCAGCCGGCGGCGACGATCCCGTTATCGCTAAATTGCATGCGCTGTATCAATTTCTGGTGAACTTGAGTAAGATATACGGACTTGGAAATATGTCGCACTCGTAAGGAATAAGGCCGCTGGACGGGCGAGTTTTGCTTAGTTTGTTATAAAGCTGGCAACTTGTGGGCAACATAGCTGACTGGCTGCAATACGTTTTCATACGAAATTGTCATGTGCTACGTCTAGAGCGACTGAATTTGCGTTCGTTTGCGCGCAACGATTGGTTTCGGTTGGCCACAGGTCATGATGACCTCGCACAGCAGCGGTTTCACGTGGCCAGCTGCGAAAGCGATTCAAACCTTATTCGTTTTCACGATTGATAATTCTTCGTTATAACTTTCAGCTCCTCTGAAAAAATTTGCCAGCCTCAAAACGTTCAGATACTTGCAGAAAACGTTAACAGGCATCTCAGGATAAACCCATCGCACTTCATAGTGGCTCGCTGCAGAAACGCAAAGAACTTCCGCTTTCCCTACCCCTGAATTATGTCACGCATTTCCTACTACGGGTCCTAGCATATCCGTCATTTTCCAATCTTCTGGCAACGGTGGCTGGTGTTGTTAGCATCGGCGTGAGCCGTACACCAGACACCCCCGGTACGTGGGTTTTTTCTTGTTTAATTCCTCCGGTCAGCCGGCCACCACATCCGCAAATCCCCTGCTACCTCGAAGACTAAGACATGCTACAACCGAGTGAAAGCGGCCTCGGACGCCTCGCATGCGACCCCGTCCGGTTAGCGTTTAGAGTAAGGTCGAAGGAAGCCTTATCGGCGAGGGCTCACTAACAGTCCCTATTTGACAAGAATTCTCAACCAACGTCACTTAAAACCCCCTTTGTGCTTTTAAAACCACAGCTTCTCATGCAACTGTTACCCTAGAAAAATTACCAAACATCACAATCATTATTTGTGACGTTTATTTGAGCACCAGACACTTAAGCATCTAGCTTATATCTTCTGCGTACACGTACATACAGGTTTGCCTGCTCATTTTGTTCCAAAAATCGGTCTTCACAAGGTCTCGGTACAGAGTGAAATACGAGTCTGTTTCAAATGGCAGTACAGATGAGTCAATAGAGCGCATTTATTTCGGTATACATAATAAACGCCACTGGTGGAGAAAAGCTGATGCAAGGCTACGAACTGCGAAGTTTTATCGCTGAGCTGACAGATAAGCAGAATGCCAAACATAAACATACTGCTATATACTATAGCTACGGGCGCGCGACGGGTGGCAGGCAAGGCCCCATAATAATAGCGCAACGGCACGGTGGCAGCATAGAAGTAAGTGTTCTTGAAGTCAGCTTGAAGATCAGAGGGCAATGATGCTGAAGGAGGCGAGTGAAATGTACATGTAAAACTCTAAGTGCTTTCAAGTGCACGGCTGAGGTCAGATCATCTCCACCGGATTCCCCGCAAACAAGCGCTTGCAGTTCGACATAAATGACGTTCTTGCCCATATAAGGGTCATTGATGGCGAGGAGCAGTGAAGAGTGTGGGGGCAAAATAGCACGTCATGATTGCTAAATGATTCATCAAAAACAAGCTGTACAAACAATATCGGCGTAGTTTTACAAAATTATCAGGTGGAGGTGAGCTGCTGAAAAGTGAGAAATAACCTCTATTGCCACCAGATCACGACAGCAAATAGGTTCCTCCACGAATTTAGCCTGTTCTCTTCTCAAAGTTCGAGGGGGAAACCTCATACGTGAGACATTTGTGTTTATCTTAAGTGTGCCTAGTAAGCACCATAAGACGGCACAAAATTATTGATGCCACTCGATGCAGATCACGTGACAGGGCGTGTTTCGCAACATGGATTGGCAGGAGAGCGGGGCTGAACAGTTACAATTTAAGAGCCGCACCCCTGAAGCACGCCCCTAAACGGGGTTTTCTGTGAGTTTGCCCACATTCTTCGCAAATTTGGGGAGACCGGAGTCTAAGTGTGGGGGAGGGTAGACTGCTGCTAAATAGGAAGCTACACCCCTGGGACTTGAGGTCGTCAGTCTGTTGTGTGTATACTCGGCACATGGACATGGCTGGTGACTTGAAAGAGAGAACGAAAATGATTGAAGGTAGCACTCGACATTTGTATTGTTTTTTTTAAGCTAAAACAGCCATGTTGAGGATCATTCGGTGTAGTTAACAGCCCTGCCCTTCTTAAGAAATAAAGCCCTCTAGTTTTTTGACCCTCACGGTCACCAAGATGTGGAGACTGTTTCAAGGAGGCTATTTCAAGGTAACTCCAGTGTGTATGACACTATAATATCGACATTAAAATCCTGCACATTCCATTAGTCATGCGGTGATCAATGCCAAGAAAAACATAATTGCTGAGTCTTTCATATCTGGCGCCCGTGAGGACGATTTCTGGATATAACGGGCAGGAGTTATAACTCCTCCGGAGTTATAACTCCTGTCTTGACCTATATTATCTGCCGGTTTACCCCCAAGGCGCCGATAGTGCAGTGGTTAACGCGTCTGCGTTAATGACTGCACGTCAGGGAAGCCAGCGGTATGGGGTTTAATTCCCCGTGGTGCTTGCCCTTCCCGCCAGGGTGGAAGGCAGGCGACGCCAATATAGCCTCAGCAGCTGAGTGCGTCGTTAAGTCCCCATGACGGCTGCTGCTCAGCGTACTTCAAGATTTTACCCAATCATCTCCTGCCCTGTGCTCCTCATCCTGCCTCGTGCGCTAAACTGTCCTGTTATGTCCTGTTGCCACCTATCCTCTATCTCCTGTCTTCTGGCTGCCATGTCATGCCTAATGATGGCGGAACCTCCATGGAGCTTGGAGAACGGAAAACATGATTTCCGTCCTCCGTACACTGTCTGCTCATGTGTGTGATTCCCACTCACTCCAGTCTTATTTGTAGGATTTTTGTTAATGAGGGCTTACAATCCAAAATATCGTTCTCAATTCAGGTCGTCCCCTCTAGTTCCAGTTTCTGTCCTCCAGCCCTGATTGTCCCCGCGATCTCAGAGTTGTAATCACGCCCGTGACCCAAAAAAAGCCAAAAATTGTTCTACAGTAGGTTATAATCCTAAACATGTTTCTCAGCACATACATTTTACACACATTACACGTACACACACATCACACACACACACATACACACACACACACACACACACGCACACAACAC